TGCCAGAGACAAGAAGGCTGCAGAGAAGTCCCCACAGCCTCAAAGCCCACAGACCAGCAGCTCCCAACGACATTCCAGTCCTCAGAGGGGCTGCCAGGACTTGGGCACGTTACTTCAACCATCAAAGCGTTTCCACAGAGAGCAAACACAAATATTTCCTATGGCATTTTACCTAATTAAGTCTTCAGCTCTAACACTAAAAGACTTTTCAATTTAAAAATCATATACCACATTTATTTGAAAGTTTTATTTTTCTTTTTATTGCAAATTTCTGGTAAAGGAAAGAACATGGAAGCTGATTCTCATTTGAGCTTTGGTGAGAAGAGTACTGCACTGTGGCTCGGCAGCTCACCACCTCGGTCGCACACCCAAACACGCGGAGGCCTCAGGCACGCACTGATGCTTGCGACCCACCTCCCAGAGGTTCTGACTTAATTGGTCTAGGAAGCACAGGGGGACATCAGTAGGTTTCCCAACTCCTCCAGATGATTCCAACGTGTAGCCGAGGTGGAGCACGCCTGCGGTGGCTCATCTCAAGGGGCTGGCAATGTCAGAAGCACCTGAGAAGCTCAGCTGACAGCCCAGTGTCACCTGCTTACGTCACCCCTTGGCCAGAGTCCAGCTGGTGCTCCCGCCTCCCTCTTCCCAGGTGTCGATGTTCTGATTCCTTCTCCTCAAAGACCCCAGAGCACAGAGATGCTGGAGGGGCTGTGGCTTCCTGTGCTGTGGTTTGTGCTTAAACGTGGAGAACCACATGAAACATGTGTACGCTACCACAGAAGAAATTCACTTTCTGATTGCAAAACAGCAATCGCCTCTTTTTTTCCTTTGTTAAGTGGAAATTTGTGGCAAAATAAGAAAATATGTGTTGGATAATAGAGTCCCTATATAACCTCTCACGTCCAAATTTGAAAAAAAATTGTCAAGCCATTGAGAGCAAAATATGTACTTTAGCAGCATATTTTATATGGGTAAACAGTAATAGCCAGTTAGATACTGCATTTGTGATTTATCCTAAAAATAGAAAATGCTTTTTATTTTCCTGAGTCCTTGGCAAACAAAAAACATTTTTTTTTCTTTTTAATTGTTAAAGTATTCCTGTTTTTCTTTTTCCTGGGGCACCCTCACAGTTCAGATCAGTGTGTCTCACTGTCAGTTTTTACATACAGAGATGAACAAACAGCACTGGGGCCAATTTCCAATTACTGATCACATATGGCGACTGAAAATAAAACACCCATCATCTATAAAGTTGCTCAAGATGAAAGTTTCTTGACAGTGCTATAAATGCAATATCAATTTGAATTGTTGTCCATACAAAAGTATGAATTTCTATTCCATTAGTAATACTGAATGATTAATACCTTAACAGTGATAAAATTTTTAGAACATTTAAAAAATACAGAGGATTCCAGTTTTACATCATACTTCTGACGGATTATCATACTTTCTACTTTGTCTGCAAAACTTTTACAGAGTACAGTGCATTGACATGATAAAACCAAGGCACAAAAATACAGTTACAATAAGTGTATATAAACCCTAGCACTTTGTGCCAATTTTGGAAAGAGAGAGATCATAAAGTCTGAAAAATTATCACATTCTATTTGATTAGTGAACAATTAATTGTGCAGTAAATAGACTGTTAACCACCATTCCATTATTAAATATATGGCTATCACTATACAGGCTGCGGATAATTCAAAAATAGTTTTAAATATTAAAACCTGTAATATCTAGGTGGTCGATGCCAATATTGAGCCTTACTTTATCTAAATAAGTCTCCATTTAATTTGCAATCCATATGGCAGTTAGCAATTTTTAAACTATTTCCATTACATAAATGGTGGGATTTATTCTAAATGTTAAATCCTTTCCCCTTACAAAAGACAGAAGATTTACAAGAAGATAACCAATATAAGAAATGCATAGACAACAATAAGAAAATCCAAATTGGACTCAAAGGTTGAAGTCTAATCTACTGGGACATTCTCTTAATTTAGGGTGAGGAACAACACATTCCTGTGATGATTCATTAGTTTCTTAATTAAAAAAAAATAGCCATGACATTTTTCAAAATAGTAAACAGTCTTCATTAGTGCATCAAGCATTGAAGAAAAATTGTCATTTTTCCATTCGTAAAATGAAGAAGATAAAAGCCTTTCAAAATCCAGGGCGGGGGATTTCCATTGAATTTAGAGAAGTGAAATCAACTGGTAAAAACTGTATTTCATACTTTTAAAGAAAGAGTATTTTCAAGACTCAAGGTAAACATTTAGACCCATTAAACACATTTCTTGGCACATGCACGCCATGGATGGAACAATCCCGAATGCGGCGACGGCCTGGCTACAGAGGTATCCGGCTCCTAGCCCCACTGGCAAAACTGTCTTTTAGGACTTTGTCCCAGCTCCCTTCACATGGGGGTTTCTGGTTTCTGCATCAGCTGGATTTGCTTCTGTAGCTGGTCCCTGTCCAGCTTCATCTTGGCCTCGAGAACTTGCCTGAGGGATCCTATGCTTTCATAGACAGCTGTAAACCCTTGAAGGAGAGGTAAATTTCACAAGAGTTAATATTTTAAAAAAATTCTATATCAAATTCTATATCATCTAGTAATGGTTGATTCAGGCAAAAATTATTAATAGATGCTAAAACCCTTGGGGTAAAAGTTTGATGGGGAACAGGTGAGTTTCTAGTTTCTCCCTAGAGACTACTTTTTAATTTACAAAAAGGAAAAAGTAACTATTACAATGGAGAAGACTGTCACATACCACTTTAACCAAGTGATCAAAGCTCATGTCACCAATACTGGGAGAAACCAACATCATGTAACTCCTGAAAAGATACCCCGAGCAGGGCATGACATCACTTCTTGACATTTTTAAAGAATACCAAATGCACAACCTAAATCATACCAAGATGAAGCAAACAGGCCTAGTACGGTGTCTCATACCAGTAATCCCAACACTTTGGGAGGCCAATGCGGGTGGATCACCTGAGGTCAGGAGTTCAAGACCAGCCTGGCCAACATGGCGACACCTCGTCTCTACTAAAAATACAAAGAGTAGCTGAGTATGGTGGTGCATGCCTGTAGTCCCAGCTACTTAGGAGGCTGAGGCAGGAGAATCGCTTGAACCCAGGAAGCGGAGGTTGCAGTGAGCCAAGATTGTACTACTGCACTCCAGCCTGGGGGACAGAGCAAGACTCCATCTCAAAAAAAAAAAAAAAAAAACGAAGCAAACCAATCTAAACTGAGGAGGGATAGTCTACAAAATGCTGGCTGGCTGGTATTCTTTAAAACTGTCAAGATCACTGAGAAACTGATCCAGAATAACAGAGACTAAATAAAGAAACATGACAACTAAATACGATGCGTAATTCTGGATTAGAACTCGAAGGGCCAACATCACTAATCATAAGGGCAATACAAATTAAAACCACAATGAGTTATTACCTCACACCCGTTAGGATGGCTACTATCAAAAAGGCAAAAGAGTACAAGTGTTGGCGAGGGTGTGAAGAAAGGGGAACACTTGCACACTGCTGGTGGGAATGCAGAATGGGGCAGCCATTGTGGAAAACAGTATAGGGCAGGGGTGTCCAATCTTTCGGCTTTCCTGGACCACACTGGAATAATTGTCTTGGGCAATACAAACACACTAACACTAATGATAGCTGATGAGCTAAACAAACAAAAAAAATCGCAAAAAATTCTCATAATGTTTTAAGAAAGTTTACAAATTTGGGTTGGGCTTCATTCAAAGCCATCCTGGGTCACATGTGGCCTGCAGGATGTGGGTTGGACAAGCTTGGTATAGAAGTTACTAAAGAAATTTAAAATAGAACTACCATACGACCCAGCAATCTCACTACTGGGTATATTCCCAAAGGAAATTAAATTACTACCTCATAAAGATATCTGCACTCCCTTGTTCATTGCACCATTATTTACAATAGCCAAGATATGGAAACAAATGAAGTGTGTCCAAAAAATTAGTGAATAAAGAAGCTGTGTATATATGCATATGATGAATATTATTCATCCCTACAAAAAAAAAAAGAGAGCCTGCCATTTGTCACAAATGGATAAAAATGGAGGACATTATGCTAAGTGAAATAAGACACATACAGAAAGAAAAATACTGCATGATCTCATATGTGGAATCTAAAAAAAGAAAGAGAAGGAAGGAAGGAAGGAAAGAGAAAAAGAAAGGAAGGAAGGAAGGAAGGAGAGAGAGGGAGGAAGGAGAGAAGGAAGGAGATAAGGAAGGAAGGAAGGAAGGAAGGAAGGCAGGCAGGCAGGAAGGCAGGCCGGCCAGCCAAGGTGGGTGGATTACTTGAGGTCAGGAGTTCAAGACCAGCCTGGCCAACACCATGAAACTCCATCTCTACTAAAAATACAAAGATGAGCCAGGCATGGTGGTGCACATCTACAATCCCAGCTATCCACGAGGCTGAGGCATGAGAATCACTTAAACCAGGGAAGAATAGGTCACAGTGAGCCGAGATCGCGCCACTGCACTCCAGCCTGGGTGACAGAGCAGGACTCTGTCTCAAAGAAAAAAAAAAAAAAAAATAGAATAGAGAATAAAATGGTGGTTGCCAAAGGTGGGGAGGAAGAGGAGGAAATAGGGAGATGCAGGTCAAAAGATACAAATTGCTGATATGCAGAATGAACAAAACCAGACATCTAATGTATAGCATGAGGACTACAGTCAATAATACTGTATTGTATTTGGGATTTTTGCTAAAAGAGTACATTTTCGGGTGTTGTTGCCATACACACACACACACACACACACACACACAAATACCTGTGAGACGATACATATGTTAACCTGCTTGAATACGGTAACTATTTCACTATGTATATGTATATCAAAATATAAACATCTTGTTGTATATCTTAAATATATACAATAATTTTTTATTTAAAAAACATGCAATTAGAAAAAAAAGACACTGGACTAGAAAAGGGTTGCTATAAAGGAAACAATGGCACATTGAAAATTGAATATTAAAAAAATTTCATTGATGATACATTGTATTGAAGTTATTTATAAGGGAATATCCTTGTTCTTAGGATATATACACTGAAATAATAAAAGGGCGACCACGCAGTGGCTCACACCTGTAATTCCAGCACTTTGGCAGGTCAAGGCAAGAGGACTGCTTGAGGCCAGGAGTTCCAGACCAGTCTGGGCAACATACTGAGGCCCCATCTCTTAAATAAAATTTTTTTTTAAATAAAAAAATGAGCTGGGTATGGTGGCACATGCCCAAAGTCCTAGCTGCTCAGTAGGTCGAGGCAGAGGGTTCACTTGAGCCCAAGAGGTTGCAGTTAGCTACGATCACACCACTTCACTGCAGCCTAGGCAACAGAGTGAGCCCCTGTCTCATTCTGTCATTTTTTTTTTTAATTTCCAAAAAAATATGGAAATAATAAAGGGTAAAAAAGCATCATGAGGCTAGGCCTGGTGGCTCTTGCCTGTAATCCCAGCTACTCAGGAGGCTGCGGCAGGAGAATCGCTTGAACCCTGGAGGCAGAGGTTGCAGTGAGTCAAGATCACGCCACTGCACTCCAGGCTGGCAACAGAGCAAGATTCTGTCTCCAAAACAAAAAAAGAAAGAAGAAATATATTGTCTTTGTAATAAAGACAATGGCTTTATCTTAAGGCTCAGAGGCTTTTCATATTAGGTGCTAAATATTAACATCCTCAATGGTATGTTAAATAGATAACAATACATTCATTCAGGGAATGATGCAAAGTTAAACATCGATGAAATATTCAAATACCATATTTTAAAAGTCCAAAGACTAAGAAAGAAAATTCATTTTTATCTTTACAAGTTCTCCAATTTATATATTTAATTATAGCTCCTACAAATAAAATAATAAACATTTGGTGGTAATAACAAAATTATTCTTGGGATAACTAGCACTTTCATTTCCATGTGGCCAAAACAGAACAATGTCACAGAAGAAAATTCATGGGATCAAACAATTGGAAGAAGCTGGGAGAGAATTTAATTCCACTTCTCACACTAGAGGAACATCTTCTTCCTGACCACAATCAATCAGCCTCTACTTGAATATTTTCCATAACAAAGAGCTCTCAAGCTCCCAAAGCCATCAATCTTTTAGGACTCAGGAACTTTAAGGTACTTCTGCCTCATATTGAGTTAAAAGCTGTCTTCGGGTACCTTCCACTTAGTGGTCACAGTTCTGTATTCCTGAGTTCAGAGTGTAAATCTAATCCCTCCTGTATATGACGGCACTCAGAACTTGAAATCAGCGCTAATGTTCTCCTCTAAGCAAGTGTGAACTGACGGGCCGTGCTGACCTGCCAGTAGAGGAAACTCATTCATTGCCAGTGTGGTACTGTACTGCTAGCACTATAAAATAAGCCCTCGAAACCCCCTCAAAGATATGTGCTTCCTTCTGAGACATGTTAACCTTGACTATGAACAGAAAAGACTTGGCAGATGATGCTAAAGAAAATGTACCTCAGTTGCAGGCTAAGCAATTTCAGTTTTGTTTGCCTGTCTCTCATGGGGGCTCTTTATACAGCTGAAATTCATACAGCATTGTAGCTACTTAGACAACACAGCACAGCTACTCAGAAAATCAACTAAGGATATTTCACAGTTATTACCATTGGCCAGGTTCATAGGTAGTTGCAGGGGATACTAATTAATAGATTTTAGATCAAACAGAAAATAATGCATGTGAGTTGTTTTGGTTTTGGCCTACCAGCATTAACTTCCGCTTTCATTTCCTTGATGTTCTGGTTCATCTGTAACTCCAGCTTGGTGATTCGCCCGTGCATCTTCTCCTCTTCTTGCCTTGTTCTCTGACCATCGAAAGTCTTCTTTTGACCTTCTTCTATTTTGTCAAGTCTGGCTGACATCTGGCTGAGCTTCTTCTCCATATCCCTTTCACTGGCTCCCTGAGATCCATGATAAGAACTGCACTTAATCACTCCAAAAAGAAATCCGCATTGCATTCACATCAGCCATAATATCATTTAACAACAATCTGCAAGAAACAAATTTGCAACACCTGCTTGTTGCCCACCATACTATCCATTCTCCCTTTCTTCCTTAACAGATCCATGATTTTCAGCTGGGTACAAGGTCATTCAAAATAAAGACTACATTTTCAGGCCAGGTGTGGTGGCTCACACCTGTAATTCCAGCACTTTGGGAGGCCAAGGCAGGCAGATTACTTGAGGTCAGGAGTTAGAGACAAGCCTGGCCAACATGGTGAAACCCTGTCTCCACTAAAAATACAAAAGTTAGCCAGGGATGGTGGTGGGTGCTGTAATCCCAGCTACATGGGAGGCTGAGGCAGGAGAATCACTTGAACCCGCAGTGAGCCAAGATCTCGCCATTGCACTCCAGCCTGGGTAAAAAAAAAAAAAAAAAAAAAAAGTACTACATTCAATGAGATGTAAGTACAAGTGTATATGGCAGTTTCCAGGAAAAGTTAAAAGACAGCTGATGTATATCCTTACTCCTTCCTTCTTCCTTCCCTTTCTGGAATTCAGCCAGAATGGCTGGAGCTCTAGCAGCTATACTGAATTATGAAGATATGGATCACTCTAGGATTGGCAAAAAGTTAAACTAGAAGGATCCTTGGTCACTGAGGACTGACAAGCTATCACGTCAGTCCTGCATTACCTATACCCAGACTTCTGTTAGGAGAAATAAAAAATAAGTTTCTATTTCATGAAAGCCACTATTATCCTGGGGTTTACTGTTAGCTATTAAACAAATCCATATATAAACAGTGATTCAAAGACCCAGAATTATTAGTACAAATGTATTAGTACAAATTAGTACTAATGTATTATTAGTATAAATCCAAGTAAGTCAATCAGTAGATGTGATGGAAATACAGGGAAATACTTAAAAGAACATATCTAGTATCTTAAATAGATATAAAATCATATACAAAAATTAAATCTTTCCTTTTTTCCTTTTTCCTTTCCACATGCTTGGTTTTTATGGGAATCTGTGTCTGCCAGTGAGCTTGGAGGCCAAGACAGCAAACTCCAAGCTGTAAGTGGGTTATGGCATGATACTCCTCTCTTGATGGTGCTCAATGCGGAGTCTGCAATTCAACAGCTCCACATCTGGAGAGAGGAGAGTCAGAGATGTACTGCACCAGTCATTTCAGCTCAATCGTCAATATCCAACAAGCAGAAACAGTGCAAGAAAAGGAAAGGGAGACGGAGATGTCATGCTAAACAATTAAAACCAATGAAAATTTGCTTGCCAGGTACTGGTTTGGGAGCATAACAATTTTGAATACTACATATGCAAGCCTTTCTTTTTTTTTTTTGAGATAGAGTCTCACTCTGTCGCCCAGGCTGGAGTGCAGTGGTGCAGTCATAGCTCACTGCAGTCTTGACCTTCCTGGGCTCAAGCTTGATTAGGGCTCAGCCTCCCAAGTAGCTGGGACTGCAAGCGTGTGTCACCATGCTCAGCTAATTTTTGTGTTTTTTATAGAGATGGCGTTTCACCATGTTGCCCAGGCTGGTCTCGAACTCCTGATCTCAGGTGATCCAACTGCGTTGGCCTCCCGAAGTGCAGAGATTACAGGTGTGAGCCACAGTGCCCAGCACAAGACTTTCTTGATATCGTTTTTGAGCAGTTCTACAAACCTTAGCTCTGTGAGAGACTGGGATGAAGGATAAGGAAAATGGGGGAAAAAATGGTGGATTCTGTTTACATGTTGCACTGCGGTATCTCACATGTAGCTACAGTAGAATGGCATGATCTGGAGACAGAAATCTATTCAACACCAGGCAAAAAAAAGCAAAACCAGATCAAGAAATTAAAACAAACAAGGACAAAGTTGGTAATTCTTAGTTTTATGTAGAAACACAGATGAACAATTTGGATCTTAAGGTTTTAGCTTAAGTTCATCTTAACTGAAAGTACTGAAATTTTCTACTTAGTCTTTGTTAACCAAAAGAATTCAGAGTGTTCTATCTCTTTATGAAGAATACAAACAATCAATATGAACTATGGCAATGGATTTTAAGGCAAGAAACAATTGAACAGCTTTAGGTGGTGCCAAATAAATCAGTGATAAATTACTAGGTATTATCATTCAAATAGTGTAGGCCCCCATTGAATAACTTTACTAAATGATTGCTAATCATCAATACCTACACTGTTTTCCTTCACAATTAAGGAAAGCTGATCAATTTTCTGCAAAAGCTCTTTTTCTATCCGTTCTTGTTCCTGTTGCAACCAACTCCGTGCAGATAATATCTGGTTACTGAGTTCCTCAACTGTACCTTTAAATCTAAAAAAATAAAAATAAAAATAAATTGCAAGTTAGATGTAAAACAGTTTTATTTTTTCATTTTTATTTTTTTTGTTTTAAGTTCCAGGGTACATGTGCAGTATATGCAGGTTTGTTACACAGATAAACATGTGCCATGGTGGTTTGCTGCATCTGTCAACCCATCACCTAGGTATTAAGCCCTGCGTCTATTAGCTATTTTTCCTGATGCTCTCCTTTGCCCCACCCATGCCCCCAGACCCCAGCATGTGTTGATCCCCTCTCTGTGTCCACATGTTCTCATTGTTTAGCTCCCATTTACAAGTAAGAACATGCGGTGTTTGGTTTTCTATTCCTGTGTTACTTTGCTGAGGATAATGGCTTCCAGCTCCATCCATGTCCCTGCAAAGGACATGACCTCATTCCTTTTTATGGTTGCATAGTATTCCATGGTATATAAGTACCATATTTTCTTTATCCAGTCTATCATTGATGGACATTTGGGTTGATTCCATGTCTTTGCTATTGTGAATAGTGCTGCAATAAACATATGTATGCATGTATCTTTATAAGTGAATGATGTATATTCCTTTGGGTATATGCCCAGTAATGGGATTGCTGGGTCAAATGCTATTTCTGGTTCTAATAATTTTTTTAATGATATCATACAACATCAATTTCCAACTATCGTATTTCTGGTATATATGCCAGCATTAAACTCGGCTCAATCAGAATTGCATGTTTACCTTTTCTTAGAATTGCACTTAGCACTAACTTGGGAAGCTGGCAAGGCAGGAGAATACAACAGATAAACCATTTGATGGTGCTTCCTACTCACGAGGAGTGGGTGGCACAGACACTGAGGTGACACAGCGGCACAGAGCTAGGCTAGCTGCAGACCCGTGCAGTTCCGAGGGTCCACGACACTCCTGGCTCAGAGGACACAGTGTCTCTCATCTCCTCTTCTAAGGTCCCCTTCTTCCCCAGGCTCTTCCTTCTAGTCCCTTTTATCTCTTGCGACTAGAACCTGGCTTCCTTTCTCTCTAAAGTTCCCCAAATTGCCCTTGCCCTCTATGGATACTTCCTAATGTAAATCAAGAGAAAAATTAAAAGAAAAAATAAAACCCTCCCATCCTTCCATTCCTCTCCCTTCCCAAATTCCTTATAACTGTCCATACATGCTACCTCCCTCTTAATTACTTCTTTCCAGTTTTTATTATAATATGTAATAAAATACAGAAGAATGTATGTGATGTAGACATGTGATTTAAATAATGATAATATGAACACCCATTGTAGTAGAGCCACCACTTGTCCTGCAATATGTTCTCTTCTTCTTCCTTATTAAGAAGCCCTCAAATGTCAACTGGGTACATAGCTGCCTAGCCAGAGACCACATTTCCCAGGCTCCCTTGCAGCGAGGTGGAGCCTCCGGATGCATAAAAGTCATAAGCATGGCTTTCCAGTCATATCTTCAAAAACAAAGCTTCTGCCCTGGACTCTCTCCCTGTCCCAGGTTACTGGGAAGCGACAAGGACTGGAGCCTTGGAAAAACCACACTGAGTTGTGAGTGCTGCCTGCCTCCTCTGGACCACTGATCTCTGCACTGTTATGTGAGAGCCAGCATGGAAGCTAGCCTGTACCCTAAGTACACAACCGTGAACCCCCGCCAGGTTAAGACATGGAACATGGCCAGGACCTTAGAAGACCCAAGTGTACTCTGCAATCACCCCACAACCCAAGAAGTAATCATTAACTGGAACTTATTGTCCTTTATCATTTTATTCTATTGGTTTGGATCCTAAAACAGCATATTTTTCAGCATTGCATTTTTTTTTTTTTTTTTTTTTGAGACAGAGTCTCGCTCTGTCGCCCAGACTGGAGTACAGAGTACAGTGGTGTGATTTCGGCTCACTGCAACCTCTGCCTCTCAGGTTCAAGTGACTCTCCTCCCTCAGGCTCTTGAATAGCTGGGACTACAGGCACGCACCACCACGCCCAGCTAATTTTTGTGTTTTTTTAGAGACAGGGTTTCACCATGTTGGCCAGGCTGGTCTCCTGACCACAAGTGATCTGCCTGCCTTGGGCTCCCACAGTGCTGGGATTACAAGCATGAGCCCCCTTGCCTGGCCAGCATTGCATTTTTTTTAATTTTATATAAATGGAACAGTACTACAATATGAGTTTTCTACTTCTTTTTTCACTCAGCATATGTTTGTGAGATTCATTCACGCTGATTTGCAGCTGTAGTGAACTCATTTTCATTGTTGAATAATATTCAATTTTGTGAATATACCACAGCTTATCCAGTCTTCTGTTAATGGACATTTGTTTTGGTTTGTTTTTATCCATCTTTGCTATTAAAAATAATGCTGTTATGGGCCGGGCACAGTGGCTCACGCCTGTAATCCCAGCACTTTGGGAGGCCGAGGTGGGCAGATCATGAGGTCAGGAGATTGAGACCATCCTGGCTTACACGGTGAAACCCCATCTCTACTAAAAATACAAAAATTAGCTGGGCGTGGTGGCATGTGCCTGTAGTCCCAGCTACTTGGGAGGCTGAGGCAGGAGAATTGTTGAACCCGAGAGCTGGAGGTTGCAGTGAGCCGAGACTGAGCACACTGCACTCCAGCCTGGCAACAGAGCGAGACTCTGTCTCAAAATAAATAAATAAATAATAATAATGCTGTTATGAAAATACTGATACATAGCTCCTGGTTCACATTTGGAAGAGTTTCTCTAGGGTCTGAACATGTCCAACTTTTCCAGAAAACACCAGACTGTTTTCTAGAGTGGTTGTACTACTTCACATTTCACTGAGTGCTATAAAGAGGTCCGGTTCTCCACACCCCTGCTAACACTTTCACATATCTGATGTGAATTTGTGTCCTTTGGATCTTTTCTAACATTTGGAAATTATACATTCAGTTTTATTCTTTTAGAATAGAAATTTTAATATATACATTTAATTTATCAAAGTCTAAAGTTATTCAATGTCTCTAATTTGATTCTGAAAAACTCCTAAGAATAATTTCAGAAATCTTCCTCCTCATTTAGATGTTGTCATTGACTTATATTTTAGTTGTGTTTTGATCCTCTGCAAATTCAACTTTAATATTACCGTTTGTTTAGATTTGCCCAATGTTCATCATATTCTTTGCTCATCCTTTCTTCTTATATTTTGGACCTTCTTTTTGTATTTTTTTTTTCTTTTTCTTTTTTTTTTTTCTTTTTTTTTTTTTTTTTGAGATGGAGTCTCACTCTGTTGCCCAGGCTGGAGTGCAGTGGCATGATTTCGGCTCACTGCAACCTCTGCCTCCTGGGTTCAGGTGATTTCCAGCTACTTTCGTATTTTTAGTAGAGACAGGGTTTCACTATGCTGCCCAGGCTGGTCTTGAACTCCTTACCTCAAGTGATCCACCCACCTAGGCGTCCCAAAGTATTAGGATTACAGGCGTGAGACATGGTGCCCAGTCCCTTTTCCCTTTCCCTGAAAGCTGTCTTTTTATTTATTTATTTATTTATTTATTTTATTTGTTTTTTAGACAGAGTGTTGCTGTATTGTCCAGGCTAGAGTGCAGTGGTGCAATCTTGGCTTACTGTAACCTCCACCTCCCAGGTTGAAGTGATTCTCCTGCCTCAGCCTCCCTAATAGCTAGGACTACAGGCACACACCACCACGCCCGGCTAATCTTTTGTATTTTTAGTAGAGACAGGGTTTCACCATGTTGGCCATGCTGGTCTTGAACTCCTGACCTCAGGTGATCTGCCTGCCTCAGCCTTCCAAAGTGCTGGGATTACCACTACATCCAGCCATGAAGGCTGTCTTTTTAAAATTCCATTAGTGTAGTTAGTACACTTTGAGTTGTTTTTTGTTGTTGTTGTTGTTGTTGTTGTTTTGTTTTTTGAGACAGAGTCTCATTCTGTCACCTTGGCTGGAGTGTAGTGGCTCAATCATAGCTCACTGCAGCCTCAACCTCCTGGACTCAAACAATTCTCTTGCCTCAGTCTCCTGAGCAGCTGGGACTATAGGCATGCACCACCACACCCAGCTAACTTTGAGTTCTTATTTGTCTGAAAGATCTTTATTTTTCCACTGGCTGACAATCAATCAGCCTCTCAGTATCTGAAAGTACCAGACCACCTTCTCACCGTTAATATGGCTGAGGAATCAGCGTTGGTCTAATTTCTCTCTCTGTTTTAAGACCTTTCTGTATTTGGTGTTCTGTAGTTTTAGAGCACCAAACTGACATGTCTAGACTTGGCTTTTTACTTATTCTACTGGAATGTATTTGGCTTTCTTTTTCTTTATTATTATTATTATTTATTTATTTTTTGAGACAGTCTTGTTCTATTGCCCAGGCTGGAGTGCATTGGTGTGATCTCAGCTCACTGCTGCAACCTCTGCCCCCTGGGCTCAAGCAATTCTCACGTCTCAGCCTCCGGAGTAGCTGGGATTACAGGCCCGTGCCACCACGCCTGGCTAATTTTTGTATTTTTAGTGAAACAGGGTTTCACCATGTTAGCCAGGTTGTTCTGAAACTCCTGCCCTCAGGTGATCCATCCGCCTTGGCCTCCCAGAGTGCTGAGATTATACGCATGAGCCGCTGCACCCACGCTGTATTTGGTTTTCTAAGTTTGAGATTTCTCTTTCATCAATTCTGTATGCTTGTCTGCCATTCTCTCCTTTGATACTGCTTCTCCCCTATTCCCTCTATTATCTCTCATAGGATTCTGATTAGGCATAGGTTGGGCCTTCTCACTCTATCTTCTTCTATTTGTGTCTATTGCTGTCACAAAAGACCCCTGCGAGCTGGCCTGCCTCCCCTGCAGCCTCATGCCCCACTGCTTCACCCTCACTCCCTGTTCCAGTCACCCTCATCATCTTTCAGTTTCTTGCATGCCACATTCCGCCCACGACGGGCTGTTCAGCCTCGTATATTCTCATCCTACTCTTTACATAGCAAAGCTCCATTCACTCTCCAGCTCTCACCTCCAGCATCCCTTCCTCAGGAAGGCCCCATAACCAGGCCTCTCACTCATTCTCACAGCACCGCTGAATTAGTTTCCTGTGGCTGCTCTAACTAATTACCACAAACCTGGTGCCAGAAAACAACACAGATTTATTCTCTTGCAGTTCTGGAAACTGAAAGGCTAAAATAGGTTTCACTCATGAAGTCAGGTGTCTGTAGGGCGGGTTCTTCTGGAGGCTCTGAGGGGAGAATTGTTTCCTTGCCCTTTGCAGCTTCTAGTGGCCTCCTGTGTTGCTCGGCTTGGAACCCTTTGCCCTGTCCTCAAAGTGCATCACTCCAGTCTCGCTTCCATTATCGCATGGCCTTCTCGCTTGACTCCTATTGCCTCCCTCTTATAAGGACTCTAGTGATCACATCAGGCTTATCAGATAAAACCCATTTTAAAATCCATAACTTAATCGCATCTGCAAAGTCCCCTTTTGCCGTATAAGGCAGTATATTCACAACTTCCAGGGATTAGGACACGAAGATATTTAGAGGACCATTATTCAGCCTACCACAACCACGAACCAAACCTTCAATGTACTTACCACCATTAGTAATAATATAGTAGATGCTCATTTACATCATTGATGAATAGTCATCAGCTCCCTAGACTAAACTCCATAAGGATAAGAACAGAGTCTGGTTTGTGTTCATTACCAGGTCCTCAGCCCCTAGGCCAATGAATACGCAATACATACTTGTTGAATGAATAGGTGGATAATTATCCAAACATAAAAAACAATAATTATGAAGGAAAAGTGGCAACATGCTACATGGAAACTTTTCTTTTTAACTTCCATTATTGTTTTCAATTTGTGCAATAAATAAAAACCAAGAGGACAAATATTGTAGTAATGCATAAACTCATACAGAACTTTTAAGTTTTTTTAAAATAAATTGATTGCTTACTTAGTGTCCAAAAGCTGAAGCTGGTGGTTACTGTCTCTGTGGGACATCTTCAGTTTGGTGCTCTGCTCTGATATTGACAAGTCCACTCTGTTCAAAAGCTGAGAAATCTGGAAAAGAAACCTTACTTATAAATATCACATCTAACGTCTTCGGATGCAACTTCAGAAAACATTTAGTAAGCCATATTCTAGTCAATGGCATTAAGATTCGATCTAATTTCATAAATTCATTTATGAGTCTACCTCATCTTCCCACCTCCATTTTCTTCTTTATATTCGCATTGAAAATCAAGACCAGTAGCACTGCCAAAATATTCATCATGCACTAAACACTTAATTTTACATATAGTTCTCTGATGAGCAAGCCCAATTCTTGCCCAAGACCACAACTTCTACCAGTTGACATGAAATACAGTCAACCTTACTTTGGAATTTCTACCATCAGTGTAATGGCTAGTCATAGAAAATAGAATTTTTATTGTTTACAAAATCCATCAAGGTCTCAGATTTACTTCCATAACAAGTCAGGTCACCAGTCAATATAACTTGTAGACTATCTCCCTCCTGTTCCTTTCTCACACCACCTACCCATCTCCCTTGTAATACTGGAATTTAACAAAAGCTAGTCCTGTGTGAAATTTCTGTCTTTTCAGCAAAAATTAGAATGTTCCATGTTCCTTACTTAAAGATTTATGGTATTTGTCAGATCCAGAAGAAAGAGAAAGCAGGTCTCTTTTGATGGATATCTGTACATATTTTACTTGGCTCGGTTATAAAAAAGCTTATGATTTCCTTAGCATCACTTCTCTGGTATAATAATTCCATCCTCACTCATTCTTCAAAAAAGAAATTCTTATTGGATTGTCTTTTTATTCTTTTTCATAGTTTTATAATATCTGTATTTTTCACATAAGAAGCTTTATATTCTTATTAGAGATAATTAAGGTATAAATGTATTTAATCCAATAAGTTAACCAGATGCTCCTGTTTTACTGGAATAGTCTCTTTAAACAAACAGTAGCAAATAAGGCAGATACTGTTGAAAAAATCCTAGAAGACAGGCCCTATGATGGCAAACGGAAACTTTTAAGTGGCCAAAAAACAAACTGAAATGCCAAAAGTTTTGCTTTGTGAAATTAATCTGTGATGTGTGAGGTCAAATACTCTCATATTCATTAGCCTGCCTTCACTCTAGCTTTGCCTAATTTTGTCCCACATACAGACTATGTGATGAGGTAGCACATACAGTGAATCCCAGGGAATACATTATTTCCTGAATCAAAAACTGGGACGAGTGGCATGTAAAGGAATGCTTGATCACTTACTTGTGAAAGAAACAACTTTCAAGGTGTCATTTAGAATTTCTGGAATGTATTAGTTGTTCTAGGAATGTGGTGGTGGGGGGAAGAATTAGGACTATACCAAACAATGTTGGTGGTTTGGTTGCCAGACATATGAAGGGCCACTCTAGTGAAATAGGAACGGAAGAAGCCAAGAAAAGATGCTTATGATTGGCATAAACCCATGCTAGGTGCCCCAGCTGGTTTCTCCTGTGAGAAATAATCAACACCATGTTATTCTTAGCTAAGAACAAATTACTCGCTTCTAAAAGCTACCTGAAACAGGTCGTACCTGTCCCTCTGCGTCTTTGATTTTCGTTTCCAGGATAAGTTTGGCAGCCTGCTGTTCTTTGTTCAAGTGCTGGAGCCCCTCATAGGTCGTTTTGTGCTCTGCAGAAAGTCTGGCTATGCTGGCATCACATCTGTCCAGACAAAGAACAAAGCTGATTCTTATTAAAGTTTAAAAACATGCGCAAACGCTTCCTTACACACTCTGAAATGCAAAACCCACTCAAAGAAACTGCACTATCAATCATTCTTTTGAACAGAGGCTCGAACGAATTCAGAGAACTGGCCTCATTACGGTTTTTAAGCTAAACCACAGGGATGTTGCTTAATAAGGCTAGAGATGCAACCACCAAAGAAATAAAGTCTTTGCAACGATCATGAGTGCAACACTGTATGTGCAGCAAGAGGACAATACAAAGAGCATAGCTAGTGTGCTGGATGTGGTCTGTCACTCTTCAATACCACCCCTGCCTTTCAAAGTTGGGGGCCTCCTTGGATTTAGGAGGCAACTTCTACCATGTTGGAAAATACTACTTCTAAACTTTGACCAAATTACTTGTAAGGCTGTATAGTATGAGTGGGGTCTAGAGCAGGGGAAGGCTTTGCAGCCAGTTCAAGCTGTAGTAAAAGCTGCTGTCCTGTGGGCCTTGCAACTTGGCAGATCCAGTGGTACTCAAAGTATGTGTGGCAGATGAGCTGTGTGGGGCTTCTGTGAAGTCCTAACAGGAGAGTCACAAATGGACCCATAAGAGTTTAGAGCTAAGTAATGCTCTGTTCTGAGACAACATTCCTCTGTTGAGGAGAAGCTGCTGGCTGGCTCCTGGGCTCTAGTAGACACAGAATGCCTAAGAGTGGGACATTAGGTGAGTCTGCAATCGGAGCAATCCATCATGAATACCATGCCTATGACTTCTTCATCTTCTCCCTCCTGCTGCTTGGGAGGCTGAGGTTGAGGCAGGAGAATTGCTTAAGCCCAGGAGTTCAAAGCCAGCCTGGGTAACACAGCAAGACCCTGTGTATACAAAAAGATAAAATGATGACGCACGCAAAAAAAAAAAAAAAAAAAAAAAAAAAAAAAAAAAAACCTGTGGCTTCTAGAAGAGTTCTTGATGTCTTGATGACCAGGTGGACTGAGGGAGAAAGTCAGGCCTGGCTACAGATGGTCACGCCCAGTATGCTGACACCTTCTGGAATAAGACCGCTGATGCTTACAGGTCTACTCAGGAGTCGCCCTAAAGACTGTCAGGAAGGCAGAATTTCATACAATACATTGGGAGATTCATTTTGCCTGGAATAAGAGATGGCCAGACATTCAAGGAAAGTGGCTAAGGGTTAGAGACTAAGGAAAAAAACTGGAGGATTAGTGACAAGGAAAAGAGTTTATATACATGGATCATTCTTAAGTGACAAAACATTTTTGCTCCTTGTAAATGCTCTTTGTATTGTAGGGACTGAAGCCCCAAACTATACTTTCCAGACGTCCTTGCCAGAAGGCTTCTGAGTTAGATTCTGACAGTGAGAGGCATTTATACAAGACTCAGAAGGTAGAAGAGAAGAACCCTTTATTCTCTCCTGTCAGTAGTGGGCAGACACAGGGGCGAACTGCAGATGTGAGGTATACATCCACTTTCAGGCACACGCCATCCAGCAAATCACTTACTCCCATGCTCTAGGCAGCTAAGATGATCAATGACTCCTTTCTGTGATTTTTTTTTTTTTTTTTTTTTTTTGAGTCAGAGTTTAACTCTGTGGCCCAGTGTGGAGTGCAGTGGCGTGATCTCGGCTTACTGCAACCTCTGCCTCCTGGGTTCAAGCCATTCTCCTGCCTCAGCCTCCTGAGTAGCTGGGATTACAGGTACACGTTACCACACCTGGCTAATTTTTGTATTTTTAGTAAACACGGGGTTTTACCATGTTGGCCAGGCTGGTCTCAAACTCCTGACCTCTGGTGATCCACCTGTCTCAGCCTCCCAAAGTGCTGGGATTAGAGATATGTGCCACCATGCCTGGCCCTTGTCTTAATAATTCTAGACTGGACATAATTGAAGATAGAATCAGTGGATTCAATGATAGTAGCAAGGAACTCACTCAGAATGTAGTGGACAGAGATCAAAAACATGAAAAAATAGTTAAGAAACATGGAAGTCAAATAGAGGGATGCTAACATGAGTCAAGGAGGAGTTCCAATAGAAGGAAATAGAGACAATGGCAGCGAAGCAATATTTGAGGTGTGAATGCCAAAAATTTTCTAAAACTGAAGAAAGGCATGAATTTTAAGATGTTCAATGAATACAAACTGGGATAAGTAAAAATAAATAAAGCATGGGGAAATTCAGATAACCAATGATAAATATAAAACCTTAAAAGCTACAGACTAAAGAGAAGTAACCTACCAAAAACTACCAAAAACTGAAAATAAGACTGACAGCCCACAATAGATATAGGAGACAATAGATATCAGAAGATAATGGAGAAATATCTTGTAATTATTGAGGGTAAATAACCTATCATCCAAGAATAAGTACAAAATAAAGACTGTTTCTAACATGCAAAGATTAAGAAATGTATCACCCACAAGCCAATACAGAGAAAGTTACTAATGAATATACTTCAGTAAGGAGAAAAGAGCATCCACAAAGAAGGAGTAGGGTGCAAGAAACAATGGTGAGTAAATGGATAAAATTGTTGTAAATTTAATTTATTATTGACTCTAAAGATAGTAAGCTACCAGCTCAATTATTCCAACATTCTTATAGACTCACTTTGCAACAACTGTTCTAGAATGTAAACTGCATGCAAGGAGACATTATATATGCCTTTTTCGTCACTAAAACCCTAGTACCTAGCATACTGCCTTGCATATGGTAGAGGCTTAATAAATATTTGTGAATGAATGAATATAAGGAAATATTTACTATGTACTAGGTACTGTACTAGATGCTTGACATATGTTATTTCATTAATCCTCACAAATCATTCCCATGTCACAAATGACCATTAAAAATAATGCCAAATATAGACCCTGATTTTTTATTTTGAGTTCATAATTTTTTAGCAAAATATTATTTAAATCATATTTGGGGAAAGCTGAGGTTTTTAAAATACTATGAAATAAAAAATGTTATAGTTTTTTAAAAAGACATTATTTTCCAGTCCAAATATAAGCTTTCCAGATAAACATGATCAGGTATCACTACATCAGACCAGTTTCACCTTTACAAAGCTGTTTGAGGGACAGACTGTGTTTTAAAATGTAGTTTGAAAAGGTCTCAAAATTATTCTGAAGACTTCACTAGCTATCATTTGGCTTCACTGCTGTGTCTCACTTGGAAATAAAAGTACTATAACATAAATTTCTATTAATAGAACAGTGGCTTGGGCTGGGCACGGTGACTCACACCTGTAATCCGGCACTTCAGGAGGCTGAGGCAGGTGGATCACTTGAGGTCAGGAGTTTGAGACCAGCTTGGCCAACATGGCAAAACCCCATCTCTACTAAAAATACAAAAATTAGCTGGGTGTGGTGGTGCACGCATGTAATCCCAGCTACTCAGGAGGCTGAGGCACAAGAATCGCTTAAGCCTGGGAGGCAGAGGTTGCAGTGAGCCGAGATTGCACCATTGCACTTCAGCCTGAGTGACAGAGTGAGACTCTGTCTCAAAAAAAAAAAAAAATAGTGGCTAAATACATTGAATTATAGTACATAGATGTAGCAGAATACTCTATATCGAATTAAAAAGTATGCTAGATCTATGTGCATACTGGAAGAGTGTCCACATATATTGTTATGTGAAAAAACTTATGTTGCAGGATAGTACATATAATACTTTGTAAAGTTAAAATCACACTATTAAGTAACTTATTAGACTACAAACCATTATATCATTGTAATGATAAACTATTATCTTATTATTACTTATGAGAAAAGTCTAAAAGGACAGACAACAGACTGTTAACATTAGTTACCTCTAAGGAGTAAAACAGAGCCAAGAGATAGGAAGGCTTTTTTTTTTTTTTTTTTTTTGTGCAGAGTTCCTCTGTTACCAGGGTGGAGTGAGAGGCGCGATTCGTACTGGAAAGCCTCCCCGAGCTCAGCGCGCAACTATCCTGCTCAGTCTCCTGAGTGGGCTGGGATTACAGGTGGCCCAGCTACACACCCAGGTACATTTTTGTATTTTTGAAGTAAGAGACGGTGGTTTTCACATGTTGGCCAGGATGGCTCTCGAGTTCCTCGGCTGACTCGGTAATCCGCCACCTCGGCCTCCCAAAGTGCTGCCACCACTCCTGGCCAGGCTTCATTTTTATTTTGTATATTTAATTGCATTTCTGATTCTTTCCTACCATTACCCATCCCTTGTGTACTTTTGTAGATAAAGAAGCAGGCTGGGTAGGGGACACAGAGAAGAGCACAAGGTAGGATACCAAAGACTCCCATCAGAAAACACGGCTGGGCATGGTGGCTCACACCTGTAATCCCAGCACTTTGGAAGGCGAGGTGGGCGGATCACCTGAGGTCAGGAATTTGAGACCAGCCTGGCCTACATGGTAAAAACCCGTCTCTACTAAAAATACAAAAACTACCTGGGTGTACTACTACTGGGTGTACCTGTCTCTACTAAAAAATAAAAAATACAAAAATTAGCTGGGCGTGGTGGCAGGTGCCTGTAATCCCAGCTACTCAGGAGGCTGAAGCAGGAGAATCGCTTGAACCCAGGAGGCAGAGGTTGCAGTGAGCTGAGATCGCGCCATTGCACTCCAGCCTCGGCGACAGAGCAAGACTCTGTCTCAAAAAACACACACACAGTGAAGTCAATTCTGGTTTTCTTATATTAAAAATAATGTTCTTACTCTCAAATGTTTCAGCAAAAAATTCCATACATGAAAGAATAATACAGTAAATGACATATTGTTAACAATTGGTGAATTTTGTAATTTTTTATAAATTTAAAATTATTTCAAAATAAAAATATATTTAAGATAAAAGGAGGAAAGCAATATTGCTATTTCATCTAGCATTAAATCAAAGACATCATTCCTGTCTTAAAAAGAACTCATAAAAGACAGTCTCAGGGCTTTAATATAGCTGTGTGTATCGCTCAGCAGCTTTAGTTAAACAAGAATTTGCAATGAATCT